CCCCCACCCCCATACCTCTCTCCCAATCCTGGCTTGTCCCTTCAGCTATCACTCATGTTTTTATGAATGACCATCACCTCTAGAAGGGATCCCCTGCCATAGTTCTGGCCACTCCCACTTCTTCATCTTCCCTAGGCAAGTAATTACACAGCCAGGGGTTTTTCTCGCTGTCAATCTGATCATGCTAGTTCATTGCTGAGCAGTGCAGGAGCCTTCGACATAAATGTTAAGCTTCTTAGCGCTTGCTCACGAGGCCCTTCATCTGCCCAGGGTCTTGCTTCCTGCCAGTACATTTAAAATACCAGCCCACCTGAGCTTCTCCGGTGCTCTTTTCTCTGCCTCTCCATATTTGCCTTCCCCGCTGTCTTCTCTCTCCTCCCACCCATCAATCTGATGTTTGAATGCATGCTCCACGGGGCTTTCTCAAACACACGCCTGCCATTCAGACTCAGAATCCATTTTCCTTCAAAGCTTGATGCTTGTCACATTTTCTTATACTTCTCTGCTGGAATGCTCGCTGGGGGCTCAGGATCAATCTATTCGGCTCAATACTGTATTCCAGAGCCCAATCAGGCCGTAAGAAGCTTCCGGTGACGTTGAGATTGAACGGCTGAGGGATAAGTAAACTCCCAGAGCAGCCCGCAGTCTTTTGAAAACAAAGAAACTAGATGTGTTCCAGATTTGATGCAACTGGAGGAAGATGATGAGACGGTATTGAGTTATATTCATCTGAATTCCAATTTGTCATTACGATTGGAAAGAGAATTGGCACACGGGCACAGAGCTCCTGTGCATTTGGGAAGCTGCATCGCAGCATGTTTCTTAACAGGCGTGGATTCCCAAAAAGTAAAGACATTGATCATTCTCATGTTTAATAACACATGACTTGCATTGCCTGCTTTCTTCGCTTGGCTACATAGTGAGCCTCTCTGTCAGGTGACATTCTACAGAGGACCTGCCACCAGCCTTTCAGACCAGCTCGCAACCCTCTCTGTGCACAAACACCCACTTTATGGCGACAGATTATAGAGACAAGCGATGTTGCCCTTTGTGTTTGTTAGTATTTTTATCTGTTCCAGAGCCACTGAGAATTGTAGATTTCTAGTCTAATGTTATGGTATAACGTTTTGAGGAACCCTATTTTCTTCATTTCCAAGTTCATAAGCTCGTTTGGCACACAGACACACACAGAGAGAGACACACACAGACACACACACACACAAAATCATCCATGTGGGCATGCCAAGATTAAGCCAGAGATGTTGGAGCTACCCACTTTCTTTGGGTCAATTCCTGGATAATGGATCTGCTTGGAACTGGGGTGGGGGGAGGTCTAGATGTGTGTTTGGAAAGAACGCCTGGATCTGGGGTGCCAGAGAAGCCGGACAGTTTCAGAAGGCTGCAGTTCAAGGTGGTTGACGGTGCTCACTTTTCCTTTGGCCTGAAGGGAAACCGTCTCATTCCGTTCGCTTTGCTTGTGAACTCTAACTCCAGTATCGTCCAGGTAACTTTCTTAGGCGCCTGTGGACATTCACCATGCCCACTCTTAAAGACATTTAATTGCGTGTCTCTGTGACATAAGGGCCTTCTCCAGGGGGAACAGGAAAGCTAAGGTTTGTAAAGGTTGACTCAGTGGGGCCAGAGAGCAGTCATCTGAAAACAAAACACCAAGGCCGGGCAAGACAGCACACAGCTCTAACCCCAGCACTTGGAAGACAGAGGTGGTGGATCTTTATAAACTCAAGGCCAGCCTGGTCTATGTAATAGATTCCAGGAAAGAACCTTGAAACCCTGTCTCGAAACAAATAAACTGATGTTTTGTAAAACTTTACACGCAAAAGCCAGTTTATTGGTGTCTTCTGTGAATGAATGCTCAGGGCATCCTAAGAAAGGTTATTTGGACAATACTGGGATAGAGTTCACAAGAGAAGCGAAATGGAATGAGAAGGCCTCCCGTCAGGCCAAAGGAGACAGTAAAGGCAAGTTCTAGAAACAGGTTCAGCCCCATCCCCTCCCAACTTGCTGGTTACTGAAGGCCTGGAAACCCTGTCTATGTGGTTAGTGCCACTGCGGCCAAATGACAGCACAGACCAGGACAGCTGACAAGCGCTTTGCAGCAAAGGCTGCCCACTGCTTGAAAAAGGTTATTTCATTTTTGATAGTCAAATATTACTAGCAATAATTTGCCTTTTAATCTGGTACAAAGTAAAAGTAAAACAAAGAACAGTGTGGTGGCCTTTAGTTCACTGAGGACGCAGATCTCTGTTACTGTGAGGCCAGCCTGATCTACAGGTAGAGTTTCGGGACAACCAGCTACATAAAGAACACTCATCAAAACAAATAGTTTAAAAGGTTGGCACTGCCTTGCTTGCCTGACATCCTGAGTCTCAGTTTTTAAATAGTCTTTTGTTCTGTTTGCAACTTTGAAATATAAAAACTAGAAAATAACCCACTGAAGTATTTAAGTTCTTCTCTGTGCCCTCCTTCCATCCTTCCTCCCTCTCTCTCTCTCTCTCTCTTTCTCTCTCTCTCTCTCTCTCACACACACACACACACACACACACACATACACACACAGTGTCTCCTATGTAAGCCTTGACTATCCTGGAGCTCCTACGTAGCTCTGCCTCGTGGACGCCGTGATTGAAGGGACACATCGCCACACCCAGTCTCACAGCCTCTTCTTAATCTTGCTCATGCAGAAGTTTATACAGATTAAATCACTTTGGCTCCCTATCAAAACAGGTTACAGAAATTTCTAGACACATTATGCTTTTGAATTTCACAGGAAAATGTTGTGGCGCGGGTGGGAGTTCACATGGGATCATGGAAAGAAAACTCGGAGGCACCTTAAGAATGAATTTAGCTCTTCTGGGCTGTAGGGTGGATCTGTCCCTAAGGACTGAACTGTTTTCCCTTCGCCCAGGGCATTTTTATTGTTTTCCATGTTTATACTTAAGTAAGTCGATTTTTATATCCTTAGAACATCCTGAGGAAGCGTCCAAAGGGACAATGGTAAGTGCAAATTCTCGATTTAAAAAAAAAAAAGTGCAGTTTTCTGGCTTGTTTTTTAACCAAGAGTTTGCACCTTCAGGAAAGGCTCACAAGATTCACATTAGGGCACAAGAGAAACAAAAGGTATCTGCTAAACAAAAGACAAATTAGGGCTAGGTGCTAGCACTCTGGAGCCAGACCAGGCTTAGCCCAGTGGAAATGCTCCCACAGGAAAAGCCAAATATTTTTGTAATTTCCATAGAAAACTCGCCTGTCTTAGCTGTTCAGAGTCCCAGGATCAGTGTCTCGCAGTTTGACACTGAAACAGAGTAGCAAAACCACGTAAATTCCCTACCCCTTCATGCATGCCACAAAGCCCCACCTGCAGACTCTGGACCAGGAGTCCGGAGGAAACACTCAGGCCTCCCCTTAGTGTGTCTGCCCCCTTTGTGATGTACTAGCGCAGAGACAAGTAAGTGTGACGATTCTGTTTGGGCCACTGGTTTTGTCCACAGTAGGCTCCAGGAAGATTCCCCTCCACAACAATTTTCTTTCCGTCTCTTATAGAAGCTCACTGACAATTTCCCATGTGCTCAAGTATGTAGGGCTGTGATCTGTGATACTGCTGGGAACTGAGTCTCAGACTTCTGGAAGAGGAGCAAGTGTTCTTAATTGCTGAGCTTCAGCTTTCTGCTAGACTCTTTTTGAGAAGGTTGGCTTTAAAAAACAGAAATATAGTTCCAACTGGAACCCCAGGTTGGTACGTGGCTCAACCCTCATCAGAGAAGCTTCTTGCAGGACACAGTGATTAACACAGAGGCTCTTGGCTGTACAAGAGAAGGCGAGAGGCTTTGGAGAGCTCAGCCCTAAACAGGATGTCTCTATCAGACCCCTCTAGGCTCAGGGCTTATGCAGAAGAATAGCCCAAAAGATTCTAAGAGCCGGAGGTAATGCTGACGCCAAGGAAAGAGCATCTTCCGACACAGTAGGACGGATACAGATGGGAGCTCACAGAGATGGTGACAGCGCGTATAAGCTCGCTAGGAAAAAAATCCCAACACGGAAGAGGAGAATCTAACCCCAAATCCATTTCGTCCAAGAAGCCATCTGCAATTTATCAATTGATATTATCTACAAATTTCCAATCCCTTCTGGGGGGGAATGAAGGAAGTTTGTTTTCTTCAGACACTGCATGCAGTGTAGGCCCCATGCTCAGGAGTGGCTGGTCACTCCATGGATTTTTGTTGTTGTTTGTTTTTAAGAAAGAGAAAGAACAGGAAGTTGAATGGGTAGAAAGGTTCATAGGGGAAGGGAAGAGTTGGGGAAGGGGAAGGAATATGATGATCAAAATATGACATTTCTTGTATGAAATTCTCAAAGAATAAATAAAAGCATTTAAAAATACCCAAATGTACAATTTATAAAGCAAAATTAACCCTACATAGAGTCCTTCTCAATTAAGCCCTGGTGTTTTCCTCAGACTAAGACGAACCCTTTTGGTGTCCAGGAAGGTTTTTGGTGACCGTCATTTCTCTGGCTTACTGATCATTCCAACCATGATTTGCTTCAGCACATAAAATCCGCCGTTTCCCTTGGGCGGACTTAGGCTTGGAGACAAACAGTACAATAAATTAGGGAGACAGTTTTATAAGTTTGTGATTTGCTTAATCTTGGAAAATCTTATGAGACAAAGCCCATAATTGTGACTTAAAGGAAGTGTAAGATTTCTGTGAAAGGAAGCAAGGGAAGGATTTTTGTCTGAGAGAGGAGGAGCCTAAACAAAGCTGATGTAAAGGAAGCAGCGGGTGTGGGCGTGGCCAGAGGTGGGCTATGTAGTACTAGTGGGCGGGGCGGGGCGGGGCCAGAGGTGGGCCTAACGGGTGTGATGGTGGGCATGGCCTAGTGGGTGTGGCCAACGGTGGTTCTGGGTAGAGACCTCAGCTAGATTGACAGAAAGAGAAGTAAACCGTCTTCAAGAACCATCTTTGGGTTTGAGCCCAGAGCCGCACAGCGCCCCTGCCACCGCGTTCTCCCTGCTGCTGCTTTCGTGCTTGCCCGCCCGCCATGGCCAGCATTAAGGACCTCGAGGGGAGGTGGCGCCTGACGGAAAGCCAAGGCTTTGAGGAATACATGAAGGAGCTAGGAGTAGGACTGGCTCTTAGGAAGATGGGTGCCATGGCCAAACCAGACTGTGTCATCACATGTAACGACAACAATATTACTGTTAAAACCGAGAGCACTTTCAAGACGACACAGTTTTCTTGTACATTGGGAGAGAAGTTTGATGAAACTACAGCCGATGGCAGGAAAACTCAGACGATCTGCACCTTCACCGACGGTGCCCTGGTCCAGCACCAGAACTGGGACGGGAAGGAAAGCACAATAACCAGAAGAGTGAAGGATGGAAAGCTGGTGGTGGACTGTGTGATGAACAATGTCACCTGTACTCGGGTCTATGAAAAGGTGAAGTAAGGATGCCTCTCCACCCCGGACAGGAGTGAATGAGCTCAGTTCAATGAGCAGGTCATAAATATCTATACTGCTTTATTTTTCATGACTGTTCAACCACCTTTATCACCAGCTCTTTACATGAAACCCATGTCAAAGTGTTGATTTATCTGGGATCTTCCTTTTGGTTAGTAAATAAACGTGTTTGTGCTACTTCAAAAAAAAAAAAAAAAAAACAAAGAAGAAGAAGAGGAACCATCGGTGAGAAGCTGAAGGATGGTCCTGTGGAGCTACAGGTTCATCTTCCACCTGATACACACTCAAGCCTTCCTAAGCCCTTGACGGGAGCTCGGAGCTCATGGAAAGAATGCTTCAGAAGATATCCAGCCGTGTGGATAAGAAGAGGCCTCGTAATTACAGGAGGAGGAGGCTAAGAAATAAGGCTTCCTGGGTCTCAGAAAGTCTCTAGCGTCAATACAAAACTAAGATTTGTGAGAACACCATAAGGGAGACTTGTAACGGCACACAAGTACCTAGCTCACTATCAGGGTTTATTAAACATAATTACAGTTTGATAGAAATAGAAAGTAATAGAATCCTTCTTTGTGTACATGTGTGTTAACTAGGTTAGAATGACCTATTTTTTCTCCTAATAGCCCTAAAAGGTAAATATGGATATCTTTTTTTTTCATAGTTCAAATAACAAAATTGAAATCAGCTAAGAAACACACAGTTTGTAAGTAGGAAAACCTAGATTTGCACCTGGATCTGTCTGGCTACAAACATGCTTTCAATCTAAGTTGCTCTGTTTACCAATAAAGCCTCAGGAGTCAAATATTGGGGTGAATATTCTCTGCTAGATCAGAAATGCCGAGAACCCACCAGCTGACCTTCCTTTGCGGCCAGAGATGCCGCAGGAGAGTGTCTCTCCACATTGTCCCAAACCAAAAAAAGCCCACAAATCTCCTAAGTGTTTCAGAATAGTTGTTTACACTGTAAAGATGTGTCTCTGCCTAAGGAGCCTCCTGATTGGTTTAACAAAGAGCTAAATGACCAATAGCTATGCAGGATAGACAGGCAGACCACAAATCTCCTAAGTGTTTCAGAATAGTTGTTTACACTGTAAAGATGTGTCTCTGCCTAAGGAGCCTCCTGATTGGTTTAACAAAGAGCTAAATGACCAATAGCTATGCAGGATAGACAGGCAGAACTTCCGGGGGAAGAGAACGGAGGGGGAAGAAGAATTTAGGTCCAGAGGACACGAGAGGGGGACACTAAAGAGATCAGACATATGGTACAGAGCAGAGGTAACCAAGCCATGTGGTAGAATGTAGGTTAATAAAGGCAGGTTAATTCAAGTTATCAGAGCTAGTGGGACAAGCCAAAGCTAATGGCCAAGCCTCCATAATTATTAAGTGAAAACACATGGTTTTCTGGTCTTCCTTTCCCGTCTCTCTGGGGGTGTGGAAAGTCATCCGGAAGCCCTTGTATCTGGGCTTTTTCTAATTTGGTTTGATTTGGTCTATTTTATTTATTTATTTGATTGATTGATTGATTGATTTGGTCTATTTTGTATTATTGTGTTGGAGGAGAGGCTTATTGTGATGCAGAAACTTTTCAATGAGAAGTCTCCATGTCATTATTTGCAGTCTGGTGATCCTGAAGAGAAAGCTTACAACATCTAAGTCCCTCCCTTCTCCTCCGCCTTCCAGGTCCTTCTTACTCTCTAGGGCTAATTCTTGTCAACTAGTCGCTAACTCCACCCCCTGATCCAAGGTTAATTTTATTAACATAGTCTTGGAGTTTCACTGTGCCTTCAAATATCCTCACAACACAAATGTCCACTTCCTACTATGGCTTTAAACTGAGAACTGGAAGATCTGCCAAGAGCAAAACGAAGAAATAACTATCTGATTGCTAACAGAGTCTTGCTGTACACACGGGGAAGAAGAGCATCAGTGAGGGGTAGATGGCAGAGCACAGAAGAAAGGGGGGCCGTCTCTGAGGGGAATGGGGAATGAATCTGGCCCTGCGCAAAAGAAGATTGATGCCTTTGATACACATAGTCAAGCAATTTACATTAATTGCGCCTGGTTTCCCAACTTTAGGAGCTGAGCTGTATTTCCTCAATATTTCCACAGTCACCCAGAGATTTTATCATGAGTTTCTTGGAGAATTATATATATATATATATCCTCTCTACCCAATGCTTGATTGAAAGTGAGACCCCAGCCCTCTAACACCCCTATATCCAAGGAGTCTGGGATGAATGATTGGAGACATCATCACAGCCCCGGCTTGGGAGTTGCGTTGGTTCGGACTTCAACTCCCAGCCTGCCAAGCGCTGACCCCTCCCCCGGGGAGGAGCAGGACCTGTCCCACAGGCTATTTAGGCTCGCACGAGGAAAAGGAACACGTGGTTTTGGGTTTACGTGGGATCCTCTGCCCACCACGCTGTCTAGGTCCACCCAAAGGCATTTTAATTCGGTCTAATCTGGTTTGATTGGAGTTCTTTGCGTCAGCGGAGCAGCTTTTCTTAAGATTGAACCAAGCACCCAAAAGGAACTGGAAAGTAAACTGTGACCAACGAGAAGGAGACTGGTGTCTTCTAAGTTGGAATGATGATCGTATGTATGTATAGCTGTTTCCTTGTGAACGACGTCAGAAAGACCCATCCTCCCCATTTGTCAAATCAGTCTTACAGTGTCAATCTTACTGAGAAGATAAAGTTTCTGCATGTGCAGAACCAGGCCAGAATGTCATAAAGGAAGTACTGGAGAGATGGCCCATTGGCTAAGAGCGCCTGTAAGGCTTGCAGATGACCTGGGTTCAATTCCCAGCATCCACAGGACGGTTCACAGTCAGGGATCTGACTCCCTCTTCTGACCTCCTTGGGCACCCAGTATAGATGTAGCATGCATGAATACATGCAGGGAAACACACAAATTTAAAAAGTCTTTTAAAGATTGTGTTTTTTAAAGGCAGTGTTTCCCTGAGGCCACTGAACAGCCAGGCCAAACAAAACAAAACCTCTTCTTAAAAAGGCAACCAGCGTGGAGGCCATGTTTCTTAGCAATTCAAGGTGTCTCCCTCAGGAAAGAGCCTCTTCTGAAGTGGCAAACATCAGCTCCACTCACATTTCACCTGTCACAGCAAGCCACACGCCCGTGTTTGGTGTTAATGGTGAGTGGGGAAAGCTGTTTGTCACAGAAACTTTGGTAATAATATCGCTCATGGTGTGTTTCCCAACACCCGCCTGGTGACTCACTATCATCCATAACTCCAGTTCCACCCCTTCTTCGGACGAACCTCTGAAGACACCAGGCACACATGTAGTAAACACACATATATACAGGCAAAACACTTGAACACATGAGCCAAAATAAATCTGTAAGAAAAGATTCAAAGAGCATTTCTATACATAGAAGCATTTCTATACTACAAAGTTCTTTTTTTTTTTTAAGATTTATTTATTTATTATGTATACAACTTTCTGCCTCCATGTACACCCACACGCCAGAGGAGGGCGCCAGATCTCATTACAGATGGTTTGGAGCCACCATGTGGTTGCTGGGAATTGAACTCAGGACCTCTGGAAGAGCAGACAGTTCTCTTAACCACTGAGCCATCTCTCCAGCCCTACTACAAAGTTCTTATGAGGTATTTTTAGGAAAAGAGTCCAGTTCTTTCATTTTGTCTTTTTAGGGTAGTTTCACAGTTAATGGATGTGATGGTTTGGACACCAGATGTATTCGAGGGGGGGCACAGTAAAGAAACTGCTGTGTGGCCGCTCCGTGGTGTGGTTAAAGGGGAAGGTTTTTATTTTTTGTTTGTTTGTTTGTTTAGTTTTGTTTTTTTTAAATATTTATTTATTATGTATACAATATTCTGTCTGTGTGTATGCCTGCAGGCCAAAAGAGGGCACCAGACCTCATTACAGATGGTTGTGAGCCACCATGTGGTTGCTGGGAATTGAACTCAGGACCTTTGGAAGAGCAGGCAATGTTCTTAACCTCTAAGCCATCTCTCCAGCCCCCCGTTTTGTTTTTTAGTGTAGATATGAGAGAGAGAGAGAGAACAGCCAGAGGCATCTGGAAGAGTCCAGAGTAGAGTGAGAAAGTAGACTGAACACGGACAGCAGACTAGGTTAGGGCTGGGGAGAGGGGAGGGATAGCAGGAACCAGAGAATGGAGAAAACACAGGCAGAGCAGAGTGGGAGTAGCGTAGCCGTGGGGAGGGAAGTGAGCTGGAGGGAGATTAGAGTAGGGGAGGAGGTGAGAAGGGTTGAGAAGCTAGGTAACAGGTACTCGTGACGCTGAGGGTCGGAACAGCACGGGCTTTGGTATGCTAATAGGCATCACTGCCCCTTCTGCCAGAAGGGAAATGACTCCTTTGGCAAATGAAAACCGGTTTCACGAGTTTCTGAGGAATGCTGGCTTCTAGGAGGATTCCTGGATTCCTGGCTACCAGGAATCCTCCTATAGTCCAGGTTGAGCTCATGTCTAGATGCATGACTTTGAGGAATCAGCTTCCTTTGGACCTGACAGTAAATACTAAACATTCAGAAGAAAAACAGAACCACCAAGGCTTCTAAAAAGAATGATTTAATTGGTTTTTGTTTGTTTTGTTTTGTTTTGCTTTGTTTTCAGCAATAATTCAGGCAGCAACACAACATGGGATGGGCAAGATAAGAGGGCAGGGATGTCAGCTGGTCAGTGCAGCTGCCAAGTATCTGGGCCTGATCTGTACCGTGGGGCCATGACAGTAGGATGAAGGGGAGAATGTGTGACCTTTTACCCCAGGTCTCTTGAATGTCAGGCCAGTCAGGGATGCATAGGGAGACACTGTCTCAAAAACAAAGAAAGAAAGAAAAGGAAGAGATTGGCGAAATTAATTGGACATACATGGAAGATGAAGGCAAAATAATGGAAAATATTTCCCCCGGAATACCTTTCTAACAAAATAGAAAGGGCTAGCCTTAGGAATGTATCTGATGTTCTTAGTGTGTGGTATCTATTGTTTAT